ATACTGGAGCGATAGCGTCCCATGGTATGCTGTTGGCATAGCCGTATGGGTGCTGATCGTGTTGGCGAACATCATCAACGTCAAAGCCTACGGCGAGCTGGAGTACTGGTTGAGTCTTTTGAAGGTGGTGACCATCGTCATCTTCATTATCCTGAGCATCGCAGTCAATGCTGGTGCCAACACCGACTATGGATATATCGGAGGCAAGTTCTGGACCGCTGGGGATGCGCCATTTGTGGGTGGCATTGGAGGCTTCGCATCCGTTTTCGTGACTGCATCGTTCGCCTACGGTGGAACCGAGTCCATCGCAATCACCGCCGGAGAGACGCGCGATCCAGCACGCGTGCTTCCAAAGGTCGTGAAGAACGTCTTTTGGCGCATCTTGCTCTTTTACATCCTCACGGCCATCATGATTGGATTCAACATACCGTACGACTATCCGGGCCTCTCGACGAAGTCATCGCGTACATCGCCTTTCACCATCGCATTCCAAATGGCCGGTTCGAAAGCGGCTGGATCGTTTGTCAACGCAGTGGTCCTCACCAGTGTCATATCGGCAGGCAACCATGCCCTCTACGCTGGCTCGCGCCTGTTGTACACGCTCGGAGCAAACGAACATGCGCCCAAAGTCTTCACGAAGCTGACGCGATACCAAGTTCCGTGGATCGCTGTGTTGACGACTAGCTTGGTGTCCATTGTCCTATTCTCCCTTTCTTTTGTCGGATCAGGCCAGCTGTGGACATGGCTACAGAACATTGTGGGCGTCTCAAACCAACTGAGCTGGATATGCATCGGCATCTCTTCGCTGCGTTTCCGCGCAGGTCTCAAAGCCCAAGGAAAAGAACACCTGCTACCCTTCCGAAACTGGATGTACCCTTGGGGCCCTTACATCTGCGTCTTCCTAAACATCTTTATCGTGCTAGTACAGGGATGGTCGTCATTCAGCCCCAAGTTTGCCGCCGTGGATTTCGTTAGCTTCTACCTGGAACTTCCTATCTTCCTATTGATGATCGTCGGTTGGAAACTTCTGAAGAAGACCAAATTTAGGAAAGCGAGCGAAATGGATCTCGAGACCGATGTCTATACGAAAGAAGACATGGAGCCGATTGATAAGGGATGGAAAGGAAGGAGCAAGAGAATTGGCACCTGGTTTTGCTTTTGAGGACCCACCTTGCGGCTCAGTACGAGCCTGGGGTCCTGGCCATGCTATACATATACACGAAGAAGCATGTCTTTCTGTACAAGTTCCTCAGGACACACCTAAGAGTTTTCCTTGTCTTTCAAGATCACGCGCTAAAAAGACGATTGCTGGCGAACGTACTTTGACTTCAAAAAGATGGATCGATGTGCGCCATCCGGTTGCAGCACCTTTACCATCAATGCGACGAACCGTTCCAACGAGGTTTCATGTGGCGTCGAAGGGTTCATGTATTGTATGCCTCGGCTGGCGCGTAGCTAGTAGGCCGACTGATGCATATTTTAGCATCCGCTGCGATTTGGGGCGGAAGGATGAGCTCGGAGACACAGACCGTGCCTGCATCAGCTCGACGTTGAGATGACCGGATATTGCAAGGCATCGCTGCACAGTTTCACAGAGCGACGACCGCACTGCAGCCCTGTATCGACCGGCGAGTCTTGCCCGCACATTGAGATCCCTATCGCAGAGATTTGCGGAAGGCTGCATGCACAACCTAGGATTAGGAGGCTCCCAGCCCCGCCACGACGGAACGCCTGCTTGGCAGGCGCCAACCAAACCATGAATGGACTAAGTCGCACTTTATCCGCCTCTCAAACCCCCGGCCCAACGCTGCCCGTGCTCGAAGGCTACGCCCCGCATATCCCCTAAACCTCAATCGTGTTTCTGTGCCTCATGCACCCACTCACAGCCGTCGAACACGACCAGGATGTCGTGATAGTCGGGCGTATCTAAAATGACACGATGGTTGGGGTCCAAAAGACAAAACCCACTTTGCGACGAGGTCGCGGACCTTGAGAGTGTCTCTGTCGCTCTCCTTCCACCGACTTGAGCAGTGCATGCGCTGGGTGCTCTGGTGCTCTGTCCCATACGACACTTTTTACACATCGCCATGTTTTCTTTCTTCTTGCGAATGGTCTCTGTCAATGTCGCTGCTGCGGCACTGATACATGCCCCAATGCCTGCACCCACAGCTCCTGCAATGCTCCCAAGGCAAGGACCTGCAAATGGCATCGTGGTTATGGGATACGAGCTCATTGGCACGCAAGACGATAAGCCGGTCTGTAAGTACACTGGCATGCGAGGTCCATCTCGAGTTGCGCTTATCTGACCTGGCAATAGGGTCGATCAAGACATTTCCTCAGTCCGACGGCTACCTTTTTACAACAGGCAGCCTGTATCAGTCGTGCAAAGCGTCATCCGCTTTCGAGGTTGATGGAACCACCACGACCTCCCCCCTACCGAAGACAGGTTGTGAGGCATGGACAAGCTGCTCACATACGACGGTGTATGGGTCTGGAGGTGTAACTAGTACCTGGTAAGTTGAGCTGCATGTCTCGCGTAGACTCGGCCACGTTAACCAGCTGGACAGCGACGGAGACTATGGGCTTTGCTACTCGGACATCATGTTCACCACTTTTGGCGCTTCCGACGCGTACACGCGTATCTACTGCGATTGGACAGGCAGCCATCCGTTGATGTCGACGACACTGTACCAAGCGCTTCCGGCCAATGGTACGTGACATTGCGCAAACGCTATATTTGACTTATTATTGACGTGTTGTAGTGGACTCAACGTCAGTCGCGTCCCAACAGGCAGCGTCCAGTACACCTGCATCGAATAGCAATCCGTCAATCTCGGCACCTACCCCATCCTCAACGTCGAACCCGGCCGGCGAGCAGAATCAACCTCCTGCTGGAATCAGTGGTTCAATCAATACATCCATAATCGCGGGTGCCGTCGTCGGAGGGCTTGCGGTTATCGCATTCGCCGGTGTCGCTATCTTCTACATCCTCAAGCGCTCCAAGCGCCACTCCGCGGGGACTGCTGTCCCGTCGAGCGACGGTGATTCTATGAATCCGTATGGCACGCCAGAAATGACTAGAGACGGATACCCTGATGCGGAGGCGTATGCGCATACGGCGACAAAACACGGACACACCATAAATGGAGGCGAACTCGATGGGCAGCATGGCACCGCAGAATTGGGTGGCGTCCCGCTTCACGAAGCAGAGGACCGGCGATGAGAAAGGAAGGCGGGAAGGAGCGCAGAGTAGGCTACGAAAGTGGCCAAGAGGGCAGCGGTGTAGTATTGTATGCAAATGCCTCGGCAGTGATGCGTCGTCTGGTCGGCTTACGTACCGCTGCTAGTTCTCGACTCAAGAGCATTCGAGTAAGACGTTCAGCCAATGTCTCGACACGAAGTCGCCCCATGGAAATGAATGCCAGCGCACCTACCGGTCACACGAAGCATGCACTCCTTACTTTGAGTCTATGTTCGACAGTCAGCAAGGCAGCATTTGCGCACTGGGACTAATACTGGCCCTACTGACCCCGAGTCAGCGCCCTGAAGTGGCAGTGCTGCTGCGCTTATGTAGGCCTCGCTCTGGTCCCCGCAAATTAAAGCGGTGCTGACATGATCCGGCAATTTAGCCGCTCCATAGGCCAGCCTGCTCACCACATCAACACCGACAAATGTAAATGCTGCGCATACAGCTGACATGAATCAAATTCTGTCCAGTTGCTGTTGTTCTTTTCATACATGCGCTACACGACAGGTGGCCGTAGTCCCTCATTTCCTGCAATGGTTTCCATCGACGTATATCTCACAGTATGATAGGGTACAGCCACGGACGTACGTCTCTACCGAGGTTTGGCCGAACGCAGGTCTTTGAGACTGTGGGTATTCGGTGATGCTAGCAATCAATACGAAGTAGTTCTAGGGACTTCATTTCTTCGAGACTGTGGACATTTTCTCATACTTAGACTTTGCTTTCTCTTCTTCATCGCGAACGCCCGCTTCGACATTCCCAGCCCCAACACCAAGATGCCTTGTTCCAGCCTATCTCATCGCATACTCTTCATAAGCTCCATCCTACTCTTGGTCGCATCTATTGGCACCCTCGGTCTCACTGGTCACGCAAAATGGCTTTTGGTTCAATACTTCCCCGCTGACGCTTGGTACATCTGGAGAGGAACAGATGGAAAACATGACGAGCAGCAGACGACTCAGCAGTGGATCGCTGTGGACTACAACGAAACGTATGATAGACTAGCCGTTGCGAGAGCGGTATTGGGCGTCGTGGCAAGTGTACTGAGTATCTGGATCATGCGAGCGAAGCCCAGAGCTATAATGGAAGAAGATACACAGGTACTGTTCTTTGTGATTGCTGTATCTTGATCAGGGCTTACGACGCATCTAGAACTCGCAACATCTCTTCCGAGGCAATACCGTGTACATCACAACTGTGGTTCTCGCAGTCGTATCCTTCGCCAGCACACTTGCATCCGCAATATGGTCCTCGATCTTGCATTACCAGTCATCCAAGCGTTGCCAAATACCGACTGTGTTGACGAAATACAACAACGAGTTTACATGCACACGTGAGCTAGCGACGTGTATTATGCTCCCCGTCATACGAACAACGGATGATGCGGCAAGGAGGCTCGCGTGTGTGGAGACTGTAAGATTGAAACCAAGAACACAAATTTGAAGACCAGGTGCTGACTGTTGTGACGTATAGAAAACTGTTCGGTGGCTGCTAGTCCCCATGCTCGTATTGGGGTTGACGTTAGTCGTGGGGTACGCTGTGCAGATCTGGTATCTGAGGAGATGGGCGGCTCTCGAGCGGAGAGCGGAGGACAAGGTTGCTGTGCTGGAGAAGGCAGACTAGCTACCCGAAACGCGATACTACCGGCAGTTTCATGACATTTCCATGCAGTGCCCGCAGCAAACATCGTGTTAGCATAAGTTCTGCCGTGTAGCGCACGACTAACCCTTCACATCAAACGACCATCTTCATCATGGATCCCACCCAACTTCCCAATGAAATCTTCGATATGGCCTTTGGGATGCTGTCCATCGAGGATCTCTTGCGCTGCGAACGCGTCAAAAAGCGTTGGTGCGAACTGATCAGGGGCGGACTAGAGACCTCTAAAGCCCTATTCCGGTACGAAACGTCTATGAAAGAACAAAGCAGTTCAGATGGAAGGCAAGCCTTCCTACAAAAGACGTGGAATATTCATCGTGGCGACTGTTCCACCGAATCGGAAGTGCTCACCGATTGTATCGCACACCCTCTCCTGAGCCGCTTCATCGATCCCACGAAACTTCGGTCAGTCATACCCTTCGACGACCCCGATCTGCCCTACATCAGCTGCTGGCACCTCCTTCGTACCCTCAACAGACGGAACGGATTGCCCAATCCGGATGCGTCTTGGCGACAGATGTTCATAACTTGGCCTCCACTCAAGGAGATCGAATTACGCGTGAGCTATAAGCTTCACAATGGTCAGCCGGACCAGGAAGGACCCAAAGTCATCAAGATCTCTGAGTCTGAAGGCATCATGCTGAATCACTTCTTCTATGCCCTTTCTGGTTCTGCAACACTGAACCGGGGACGTCCTGCAGGTTCGATAATGGAATGGGCCAAGGCAATCCCCAAAATTTGGTTTAGGAAAAGGTACAAGGGCATGCGTATCAGGGTGGTTCCAATAATCCGTGCGAAAGAGAACGAGCGAAAAACTGCTGCGGAAGAGGCATGATTGCTATGAATAATGGAAGCTTTTAGGACCTATCCCTTGTCATTTCGCAGGTACTATCATAACGTGTACAGAGTTTGCATTATAATTATTGAGTGACATAAGATCAACGGTCCAATCATGCCATCTGCCCCCTAACTGCACCAGGTAGCGCCAAGCTGGAATGAGTGTCCGCCATGAAAGCCGCCGGGTTGGCTTCGATCATGCTAACATGGAAGCCCTCGCCTGAATCCTTTCCTTCAACCATTACACCAGTCGTAAATGGGCCCTTGATACAACCTGCGCTGTTCCTAACCGTCTCGCTTCCCTCTATCAGCTCCGGGTTCGGGAATGAGATTCTGGGTGGTCCGCTAGCACCGCGCGCGGCCTCGTGGATGTGGGTCGCCGTAGTCGCGGGGGAGTCGAATTCGCCTTGGAAGTTGTGTAGCGTAATGTTGTAGCAGATCATGTTGGAAGCGCTGTTGATGCCGAAGTTGAAGGTGCCGGATGCGCCGGCGAGACCGCCGGTTGGTTCGGTGCCGTTGACCACCTCCTCAGGGACAGCATGAACGAAGTGGGTCGAAGAGAAAGCAAACAGCTGCTGAGCATCAATAGCGTTGGCCGCGACAGCATCTTTGCCGCTCAGATCGATGTTTATTTGCAGCTGCATGTGACCGTTGCCGATGTCGAGAGGTGATGCTGCGACTGGCGCGGCGGTTGCGCTCAGCGCCAGGCTTGCAACGGTGACGAACGCGGCGGTATACATTATGATATAATGAGATGGATGCAGAGAAAGATGTATGGTGAAAAGATGTGCGGTAAATGTCTTATCAAAAGAACGTGTAGAAGAGAAGCGAAAGAAGCGAAAGGATGAATGAGTGTGTTTGAGAAAGGACTGGTCAACAGCGAATTATTCCTACCGAGCCTCAAATAGCGCTTCTTCCATCTGGTTATATACTCGCCACATGTGGTGATACAGCGTACGTGGATGCCTTAGCACCAAGGCTTGGTTGAGGCACCTTTGTAACGCGTGCTGAGTTTCGCGCACCTTGGCCATCACCAACAGCCGACTCGGCGCCTTGGAAGCATCAGGCCTCAACGCATGCTGTAAACACTCAGCTCAAATGAACGATCGAGTTACGAAGTGTACATCCCGAATTAGCATGAGCATGGGTGCAAAAGTTGATGAGCCCAAGGTACGCATCGCTAATTTGTCGCGGGTTTTCGTTGGCCAAGTGCGCAAAACATACGATGCGAATGTCTTGGACAGAATCGAAGCGCATCCTGGTGTATTGGGTGTCTCTTCTCGTGGTAGTCTTCTCGGGATTAGCTACCCGTGATCTTATGTTACTCGGATTCCATTCCAGCCGGGAGGAAGGGCACGCTTGAGAGGCCGCCCGGACGTTCGAGCAAAAGTCCACCTAAACGGCTTCGTGAACAGTATGCCATGAGTGGGTCTGCTATCGCAAAGCTACCGATAAGAGCAAATTGTCTGGCATCCTATTCAGTGTTCAGCTGTTCACGCTCTTTCGAGGGCTCTCCAGGTGGGATTGGCTTTTCGAGACACAAGGACGTGCTGTCGAAGGCAGAAGACCAAGAGGACAGGATGTGGCTGTGACAGCCTGAAAGCCAGGTGGCGGTCTAGGGCTCATTGGAGCACTCTATCGACATACATTGCGATGGTGGTGGTGTGACGGTTTGTACCGATGTTGATTGAAGTATGTACGGGCTGGGAGGAGGTCATGACGCCACGGGATGGTCATTGCTCCGACGTTTGGCCCCACCCGCTGAGGAGGCCTCTGATCATCTCAACTACAATGTTCGCGCTTCGCGAATGCACGCCCTCAGCAGCTGAGCATCGTGCCAATGACAGAGGCGCCGGCTTCTTCGATGGTATGTCTTCCCGACGCGATTGTTCGCCCGCGAAGGGGCTCAGTGCAATAACCGCCGGTTTCAGCCACAATCCGACTCCAGTTTCATAATTCTCTTAGATCTAGACTTCTCTACTTTTCGACACCTTCAGCCTATAATCTCTGTCCTCCACAATACTTCACTATGTTGATCAGCGAAATTCTCTCATGGAGAGACATCCTGAGACAAGAGACGCAAGGAATGTGGCACGTTTCGACGCAAAGGTCAACGGGAACTTTGCTTTGCGCTTCATTAAGTCTTGATGATATTCATTACGTATGTATTAATACACTATATGAAGTGAAGTAGGTATTGGTATCACATAGCAATCATCCCCTCACACCCAACTAAATTCCAGCACCAGCACCCGGGAACTTGGCGAGCAAAGACTTGTCGTACTTGGCAAGATCAGGGCAGCCAAGCTTCGCAAGGATAGGGTTCAGCGCATCAGTCAACTTCTGCACAGCAAGCAGAACATTGCCGAGGAGGCCCTTCAAGATATCCGGACTGGCGGAGTTGACAGCCTGGAATGCGAAGCACATGAGATTGTTGTCTTCAAGCAGGGTCTCGGCATTGAAGACACCACCGGTAAGGTCGGCGATGTTAACACCGGTGAAAGTGTTGGGCTCGCCAGTGTTGCCACCGACGACGGCCATGTAGGGAAGAGCTTGGAGTGCGCCTACGGCATCGAGGGTAAAGGCTGCGATTCCGTAGTCATCACCTGTGGCGCGGCGGTACCACTGCGGTAAGTATTAGTATATTTCGACCGCTGACGGTGAATGTAGTGTAAGCTTACGTTCTCAGGAATCTTCTCCTGACCACGAGCCCATTTGAAACTGCCTTTCTCTCCCGTAACACCCTCAAACGACTTGAGGGTTTCTCCGTCGAGATAACCTGATGGGTACTCTGCAGAGTGATTCGAGAAGAAGTGGAAGGTGAACAGGTAAGTCGCAGTGTTGATGGCGTAGTGGGTCAAAGGCCCAGCCCAGTAGTGTCCGTTGGTGGCGACGGAGTTGTTGTATCTTGAACCACGGAAAGGATGCATGACAGTGAGGTCGTAGCCCTGGGGACCGATAGGCATAGCCATGAGTTCCTCGAACTGAGGGAGGTTCAGTGATACTGGGTTACCGTTCTTGTACAGGTCCTCTCGTGTGGGAGAGCAATCAGCTTCGAAACGGTTGTGTGTTCCGCTCATACCCTGCGGCTTTCCGACGAGACCAAGTCCAGTAGTGAGTCCACCAAGCAGACCTCCGCTGGGCGGGCCACCGATGGAAGACGAGACGATGTCGCCGCCCATGACGGTGGCAAGGACTGATAGGAAGGCGGAGAGCTCGAGGCCCATACCGAAAACTATGATGCTGTGAGCGACTTGGCTGATAAGCCGGTAGACACCTGCGTACCTTCGTTCGATGCAGTAGTCAGCTGCGTGACGGATGCGATTCCATTGCGGGGGAGATAGCCATGGTTCGCCATGACGTTCAGACCTGGGCATGGTCCGCGAAGGTCATTCTTGCCTGGTGCAATCTGTAGGTGGACGTGTTAGAAATTGATGCAAGAACAAGTCTTCCATCCCAAGAGTCCACCTACATAACGGTGTTCACCCGTAGTGCTGATGCGCTGAGCGTCCGCATCGAAACCAGGTGGGAGGATGCTAGCCCCAAGTTGCCGTTTGGCCAAGTTGGCGGGCATCTCCTCAACTGCCCTTGTGATCTTTGCCGCCAGCTCCGTGATCTCTGCGAGCCCCTCATCGCTGAGATCAGCTGGGAGGTTGTTGAGGAGGTTGGCGGGGAAGGCAAGAACTGCCGATGAAAAGAGCGTAGCGCAAAGAATGGATGCCTTCATGCTTGCGACTGAAGCTATACAAAGACTAAGGAGCGTATGTATCGGTGATGGGTGAAAAGCAATTTGGCAGTTGAAGATCTATTATATGCGAACAGTCTGAGGTGTTCACGGCGAATGGCATGAACGCAACCAATCAATCATGGCGAATTTCGTAGCGGAAGTTTAATTCAGGAGTGGTGTGCCTGATCATCGCGCTGAGATCATGTACGTCGCTGATGAGATGGCAAACCTTCTGCGCGAGCGTAGAACAATGACTCTGTTCTACAAATGAACGACCGACAGAAGGGCCGAAGTTAGGAAAAGAGTGTGGTGGTGCAGCCTTGGATATGCGCCTGACATGCTAGAGACATCGACTAAGATATCGACTAATGTCGGTCGGCTCATCACGTCATCTTCGATTGGTCGGTAGATGATTCCGATGCCATCGGTCGCAAGGGCGACAAGGCCCCTGATGCGCGCATAGTGCGATTTGGGATCCGGGGACGCTAGGCGTTGTCATGGTGGTGGGCGTGCAGTGGCGCTACCTGGGAACCTGCCGCAGCGTGGAGGCGGGCCTGTAGATCGGATGCCGCTAGCCGGAAGGGAGCGGAGCCAGGAACCGGGCAGAGGCGAATGAGAAGACCGCGACGAGATTCGGTCTTCAGGGTCCTCTCGCCTCTCATTACTCATGTTCTAAATGCTCGAAGAAAGTAATGCGATGGCTAGGATAATCAACAAGACTCAATAGTAGTCATGGAAAAAGGACTGGGGGCGACGCCGATTTGCGGCCGAGAATAGGTGAGCAAACATCTTCGTTATGGCATTATTCGTGATTATCTATTACTCGTAAGCTCCATTACAGCCTCCGTATGTCTTCTATGTGCGTCTGAATGTGGTCTGCCAAGGGCCAATTGTCACCGTGTAGGTGTGCCCGTGACATGGACTCTGGCAATGACTCGGGTGTTGCAGCCGAAACCCTTCCAGTCTTCTCGTCAACAATGAGATCGTCCAACTCAATGTAACCCTCCTTGGGGCCACGCTCCAGGTCGTCGTCGTCTTTGAATAATGAATCTGTGCTCGTGTTCCCCAATGTACGTGATGTGTTCTTGTTCAATCGTCGTGCACTGTGATTCGCAAGGGTGCTTGCGTTGTTGGAAGGGTTGGAAGGAGTGCTTCCAGTCCCAGTAGATTTCGATTTGCCGCTTCGGTTTGTTGAGTTGTGGTAATTTGAGATGGCCGTGTTGACTGCTTGCTTGAAGAAGACACGGAGTACCGGGATGGACGTGGCAACAACAGTCATGGCAGTGTCTGCTGTTGACCAAATGACGGATTTATACGCTTGGTCTGCTTTGGTTAGCTCGTTTCAGATAGAACGCTTCAATGACTTACAAGATAGATCCTGGGTTTGGAGCTGCTCGACATATCTGGCTCGGAGAATAGAGGTGACTCCTGCCAAGATACCCAGACTCATGGCAAGACCAACTCCGATCTTCTCCGCGGTACGCATCTGTAGATTCCAGAGGACCTTCCATGGCAATAATGCTAGAGAAATGTCCATGATTGCGGCCCATATAGCCTGAAATCTTCCGTATATAACCGAAGGCTCCTTGTCGATACATGTGCCCGGGAGGATATCAACGAAGGTCTTCGTTATTGGCTTGCATAGGACCCAGGGAAGGACAGCAACTGGTATCGCGAATAAGCCAAGGGTGGCGATAGCAAACCAAACGTAGGCCTTGAGCCATCCGTCGGTCAACCGAAGCAAAGTGAGCCCGAACGAGATTTTGCTGAGAATGATGCCCGTGATGGAAAAGGTGAGCGCAGATGCACCATAATACGTGATACGTTCGAAGTGGCTGAAGTCAACTAGCCAGAAAATTAGAGATAGGTTGATTGAGGTCTTCTTTGCGAATTCTTACTGTCGAGTGCATGCTTTCCAAAACCGAGGTTGATGCTGAGTTGGTTCAAGATTAGTTGGCCAAGGAGCATAAACTGTGGTGCATCAGCGATCCATTATCTCAGTTCGACCTTTGGCCTCACTTACCCAGCTGATAATGAGTACAATGTCGTCAAACCAGAACTTCTTTTGGGAACGACGGATCCAACAGCGAACAACCAGGAAGACGAAAGAGATTCCACCCATTGACCATGTCGATACGGCCATCAACATCGAGTGCGACTCACTCGGGTCGCTGCGCCAGTTATCGAATTGGGAAGACATCTTGATCGCGGTCGCGGGGGTCCAAGGCGTCGGATACGACGGGAACGTCCAGTCGGTATAGATGTATTAATGTCCAACGGAGTTCCATCCAAAAAGGGCTGTGTTCCTCCGGGATGAGGGTACAATCTATAGGTAAGGATGCTCCGCGGATGTCGAGATGTAAGGCACAAACTATACAATAGGCTAGTGCCTGAGACTCTTCCGCATGCCAGGGTCCGGCGAAGATCTCGCCGAGCTCGATCGCAGAAGCTATCGCGATATGGAGTTTGTCAGGTATGCAATTCACTGGAAGTTTTATGCCTTTGTGCCCAAGACCATCTCAAAGATGTGGGTATTCGCTGGCCAAACCTCGTCTCGGTGTGAACGTTTCTGGTGCGTGCTTTGCGCTTGTCTGACTCGGGCCTGAAGCAAGAGCTGGTAAGCATCAGGTCGGCGTGCATCCTCGTCATGTTCCAGATATTTGACCAATCGCGGTTTTTGCACTTCGCACTTGGGGAGTGAACGACGGCCCGAGTGGAGGGGATCTCCGCTTCGCCGCTTGGTGCACGCGCTAACAACGCGCCCGTCTGTCCCGGCAGTCATGCCATCGCGATTTTCAGGTCATGAGCGGGACTTGTACAGATTGATGCCAAGGTACATTTGATTGTAGTCGCAAATCTTGTTCTTTAGCAAGAGTGGGTCGGCTTCCATTGTCGTACTAGGGCCAGCGCGCGGATAGACTGATGCTCGGTCATCACCCTTTATCCTGATAGAGTTCAATGAATGCCGAGTGCGCAATCGACAGCCGCAACTTTCGGCGATCTGGAACATGCCGCGCTCGGACTTATCTTGGGGATGCTTGTAAACCTGTGACCATGAAGGCAACGGGAGGAGGTTGGACCCAGCAACATCGCACCTTAATTTGATGAGTATGCGCTGGGCAAACGTTGGCAGGAGATGCGGTAGTTAGGTCAAACACCTTCCAATGCAGCGACGTTGGGATATCGCAGGTATCGCGACGTAGTCGCATGGCAGCAACATGTTGTGGCAATATTGCGCGATGAAGCTGTTGGCAAACTGTTCATAAAGATGTACATTCTTAGGGTGTCTGTTTCCACCCACACGAGATGGTGTCTGTGTTTTGGTGAGTGAGGTGCTAACGGCAGATCAGCCACTTCAACGTACCTAGTGGCCTGCGCGTGTGTCTGCACTCTTTCACAGATGACAGCAATGTGCGTGTCCTCACGATGGGTGCTGCCCAAAGCCCCGCATTCATCGTTAGCAGTGAGCCAATCGATACAAGAGTGTGATGCATTGTGATCTGGACTGGTGGTGTTGGTTTTGGTGTAGGTTCGAAGACGAGGCGAACAGCCCTGCACAGCCAACTGTCGCTTGCCTTACCGCAAGTGGATTTACTACTGGACATGTCGACCGAGCACCTCTGGTTCGTCGCTCCTAGTCGTTACGAACACTGCTGACGAATGAGATATCGCTCTGAAGCGGATGTACGAGTTTCGGATAGCTTACACCACAAGTTGATATGTAATGGTTCATTTTCGCGATGCAAGATGTGACCACACACTAATGGTGACCTGTAATGCATCAGCAGCGCTTTGCAGCCTTCGTAAACTCTGTTATCAGCGATGTGTTTTCGGTCAGCACAGCCGCAGTCAATCTGATCGAACATTCGCACGAGTCACCCTTGTGCTGAGAAACAGCTGTTCGTGACCAAGTCGTTACGGCACGGCGGCTGCGAAGCGGAGTGGCGCGCTTGAATTACCCGCGGAGCGTAGGCATGAGGGTTCAGGATGCTTGCATGCGCACCTTGCGCTGACCGCGTTCGCGAGTTTCTCATAGAGGGCGGCGTATTTCTCCATGTCTAAGTTTCGGGATCTAAACTCTTCTTCGTGGGCCAACCAGCAACTAGGCAGCTGGGATCGGAGACAAAGTTTGCGGAGCAGATCGGCCAGCCTAGCTCGTTCGGGTTCGCACTGGACATGAACTAAATCAACACCATCTCCCCTCCTAGATTCTCTCTACGTCAACTTCATATCTTTCGTAGTGTAGGGCATCTGCGCTAGGGCCCAAACTTATGCGTTGGAGCCCACCATCCAGGATACCAGGAAGCCGGTACTTAGAGACGACTTCGAGGCATTTGCCTCGGAGTTTTGGCCTTCGCAGTGATGACCTACACGTATGCATAAGGTTCGACATCTTATCTCGTAGATCGAACTCGAAAGAGGAAGACATGTGAGGAGCTCCGATGCTCACACTGAGTGACGCGCATGCCTGATGGGCCTAACAAGATAGGCTTCAGGATTCAGCACGAAGACAAGCGACGTGTCTTGACCATTGGTGTTGATGTAGTGTTGTCATGTACAAACGTTGAGGTTTGGAGGGTGTCGGCTCGATCAGTCGGGATTGGTGCTGAAGGCGTGGCCAATAAGTGATCATTGTCCGGCTGGAGAGGGGGCTGGGACAAGCAAGTGCTGTCGGGGTGCATTGCTGAATGTATGCGTCTCGTCGAAGAAGAGAATGCGCGTTTTTCGAGCGCCGGGCGCGAAGTTTGGAGTTTGCCAGAAGCGATAAGAGACGCGTCCTTTCCCTCGGAAGATGATTCCGAAGATGCGCACGTGCCCGACCACGTGATGCTCTCCGCATCTTGGCAGGGAAGAGGGACCCGAGAGGCGACGTCATAACCCACTGCAACTGCTCTCTATCTACGAAGGATTCATTGACGATATAACCCTAGAGCTCAATCAGGATGTACAACCGACCACGCCCGCCTGTGGAGCGATGCGCGCATGCGGGGTACCTTGGAAAGCGGTGCACCAACGGCTGAGACGCATAAGAAGTAAAGAGACCACGACTCACCCAGCTACATCAAAAGTTCTCAACATGTTGGGAACTAGGTTATTGTCTCTGCTGGTACTTGCGCCATGCGCAATAGCACAAGACGTCGACTATTCGCAGTTCGTGAATCCGTTCATCGGGACTGAAGGCGCGATACCTGGCTACGCATACGGCGGCGGCGATGTCTTCGTCGGCGGTGCAGTACCATTTGGCATGGTTAAACTGGGCATCGATACGTATGAAGAGCCCATCAACCAGAGTGCACTCAACGGCGGATATACACCTCAAGGCCATGTGACTGGCATCAGCTTGATGCACCAGTCGGGAACCGGCGGGGGCTCGAAATATGGATACCCTTCCCAGATGCCGCTGACAAGCGTTGACGGCGATGTCAATTTGCTGGACAATCGAACTTACTGGCAGGATCGTGTAGGGTCATCAAGCGTGATGGAAAGGCAGCTTCTGACAAGCCTTTAGGTTGGCGAAGACGTTGCGCAAGTTGGCTACTTCCGTACTGAGCTCGAATCTGGTGTCAGGATCGAGCTCGCGGCCTCTCGACACGCAGGACTATACCATTACATATATCCGTCTTCATCCGAGAAGCACGTTCTGGTTGACCTGTCGCACTACCTACCCCATCTGACACGCTCATGGGACTCGCAGTTCTACACGGGTGGCGAGATCGAGATTCAACCGAACACCAGCACATACACTGGATATACATCAATAGCAGGTGGTTGGAACATCGGAGCATCAGTTGTGGTAAGAAATATCGCTGTACGAACTGCATGTGAGACATGTACTGACTTCGTACACCTACGTTTAGGTGTACGTATGCGGCGAGTTCGATAGTCTACCTGACGAAGCACGTGCTTTCAAGGGAAAGAACACATTCCCTGTTGGTCGACACTTCCGGTCGTTCAATAATGCCACAACACCTCGGCCTACGTATACTGGATCAATAGCCCGGTCAGGGCCGATGAACGACCGCGTTGGAGCAGTATTCACTTGGACCAATGTCACCGAGATCAAATCGCGAGTCGGCATATCATTCATGTCTGTTGACAAGGCATGTTCGTACAAGAACACTGAGCTTTCTTCGTGGTCAATCGAGGATACTGCGCAAGCAACGCGTGACGAATGGAACCGTGATGTCTTTTCCAAGATTCGCGTTGACACTTCGGAGTCGGCAAACAAGACCAGGCTGGCGTTGTTATACTCCAGCTTGTATTTCATGCACCTAATACCCAGCGAGCGTGTAGGTGAGAACCCGCTATGGGAATCGGATGAGCCATACTGGGACGACTTTTACACTATGGTCAGTTTTCGACTGCGCAAAGTGCATGTGAGACATATACTGACTTCGTACCTCTGCCTCTGCAGTGGGATCTTTTCAGAAACCAGGTTTCGCTCTGGCATCTCATTCAGCCAAGCTACTATGAGTCCATGATTCGGTCTCTAATCGACATGTTCAAGCAAGAAGGCTACCTTCCGGATGGTCGATCTGGCAATTACAACGGTCTGGTCCAGGGAGGATCAAACGCCGACAACGTTCTGGCAGATGCCTACGTCAAGGGCTTGACTGGCATGATCAATTGGACAGAGGGCTATGCAGCAGTCAAGAAGGATGCTGATGTCTTGCCTTTCTTCGACGAGAACCCAGTCGATCCGTATGGCTCCCTGAAAGAAGGTCGTGGTGCGCTGAAAGATTGGGTAGAGCTCGGCTACGTCTCAGCTGATCGCAGCACGCGTGCAGTCTCGAAGACAGTAGAGTACTCACTCAACGACTTTGCCGTCAGCCAGATTGCAGCGGGCGAGGCGCCTGGCGACCGTGACCTCTACCTTCGTCGGTCCGCAGGTTGGCAGATGAGTTGGGATCCTGAGTCTGCGAGTCGTAACTTTTCCGGTTTCGTTATGCCGCGATACGCGAACGGCACTTTCCATAAGACGTATGACATTACTGACTGTGGCGACTGTAACTGGGAAGATGAGAGCTACGAAGGCACTGCTTTTGGTGAGTCGCTTCCCGCGTTCCTTTGTCTTCTACATGCACACTGACAAAGCGGCAGAATATTCTTTTGTCGTTCCTCACGACGTCTCACGCGTAATCACGCTAATGGGAGGCCCCTCGCACTTTGAGGATCGCCTCGACTACGTATTCCAACCAAACACATCTGGCGTAGACCTCGGCGTGAACGGACTTGGCATCACCACCATCAACAACGTCGCGAACGAACCCGACTTCGAAACACCCTACCTCTACAACTACCTCAACAAGCAGTGGAAGAGCGTCGAGCGAAGCCGCCAGCTTGCTAATGACTTCTACTTCAACACCACCAATGGTATACCCGGAAACAGCGACGCAGGAGCCCTAAACTGCTGGCTCATTTGGCAGATGCTGGGGTTGTACCCCATAGTCACCACGCCTGTATATCTCCTGGAAAGCCCTTGGTTCTCCGACATCAACATTACTGTCAATCATGACAAGACGCTGAGGATCAGGGCCGACGGTTTGGGCGATGGAGACGGAAAGCAGGGGTACTACGTCCAGGGCGTGAGCATTAACGGACAGGATTGGGGAACGAATTGGTTCGAGCATGAAGATGCGGGTGGTATCATGACCGAGGGGGGCGAGATTGTCTTCAGGCTCGGAGAACAACAGACTGTGTGGGAGTCAGGCGATGTGCCGCCCAGTCCTGGGCACCAAGTTGTTGATCTTGGTGAGAGCGCACAGTTCTCCAACTGATGCAGCATAGCACTGCGCCAACCCGCGTCGTGACGGCATAGATGGTGGTAGGTAATCGCGATAGAAGAGACTATCAATACATGTTCGTGATATCAACATCCATCAAACATCAAAACTCCCCGCCAAGCCATCCGACACATCTGACACACTCCTTACACCCTCCGATCACGTGAACCCCTCTGAAACGCCTCCTGCGACAGCACGACGAGACCCATCCGCCACGGCATTGACCCCGCTGATAGGCCAGAACACATCATCCACAGGACGCGTCGTCAGCAAGTCACAAGTCAGGTGCAAGTCAACCAACAGCATGAATCATGCACGATATATCCGCAGTCGTTATAGGTACCTCGCCTCCGACACCCGGCGCCTGGATACGCAGGCGACAAGGCGATCACACAGCGACAGCCTCAGCGCGGCGGAGAGCATGATACCTTGTGCTGGAAGTGTACTGCGGGGTGTGCATCGCCGTGCTCTTTCCACAGGCATAAGAAGGCTGTCTCGCCCGTTGTGCTGAGAGACCATCAAGCAACATCTCTTCGCACTACAACAACCCACTTCTATTCCATTCTTTCTTTGCGTCTGTGACTGCAAAAGCTGACCTGGTGTCATTCGTTCAAACGTACTATACATAATCTACCTCTCGATCATTTTTCGATACCCATAACTATCAATATGCGTTTCTCCATCGCTACTCTTATCACCTGTAAGTTTCCCCATCTCTCCTCCTGCACACCGCACAAACCCACAGTAATGCTATACTAACACCCCCCAGTGGCCGCCGTCTCCATGGCCCAAGTCACACCCAACAACGCAGGCGCCAAGAACGTCGGTGCAGGCGACGGTTCGCAGTTCATCACCGGCGGATGCGTGTCGGATGCCGATTGCAGCTCCGCCTGCTGCAGTCAGGTCGCTGCGACCGGCGACGGTGTTTGCTCTGCTGAGGCGGCGAGCCAGCAGAACGGAAAGACGGGCTGTGGATTCACGGACCCGAATGCGGATGCGGTGATTGCGGCGGCGCAGGACCAGGTTGCGCAGCAGGGGTTTAAGAGGGTTGTTCGTAGCGAATAGGGGTGTTGCTTTGACAGAGGAGGTGGTGTTGCGTCAATGATAAGATGGTTTGACGGAGGCTGTGCTGTGCCCTGGCTGTGATGTCCCTTCTACAACGTGCATCAAGCTCAGCTAGTTCATGCGCATTTTAAAATTCGCTCCAGATCGAATCACGTCTTCGACGTGGAGCGGATTCTAAAATGCGCATGAACCAGTTGATCTGTGATGATAACCTCAATGCGCATATCCGCTTCCCGCCCCAAAAGCCGCCCACAGCCGAGCCACCCAAAGCGCCAATATCAACTCCCGACATGTCTGGTCTAGATCATGCCTCAGCTCTATCGTCGGCATCTTCCCTCCAGGCCCCATCTTCAACACCTCTGTCGCAACGACATGGCCTTCGCTGTCTTTCCACTGACTAGGTTCCAGCTCGTTCTTCCTCTGCTTAAGCGCCTTTGTGAATCCCCCTGGCTTGCCACAAGTCATAATCTCATTCGGTCGACTGCCCTGCGTGGGCATATGCACTACATGCCACCGGCGCAGGCCGAAGCGCAGTTGTAGAGCGCCGGGTAGTGTGCTCCCTGCTTTGCCTTGGATGTAGTATTCGTTGATGAGGAAGGGTGGGTCGTGGGCTTCGTAGAGGACGCTGCTGCTGTCGAAGGCGACGGTCGGTGCGCCGGATTGGAGGAACGTGATCTCCTCGGCCTTTAGCCTCCGTATCCGTAGTTTGTTTATTCGCGCATCGAGGAGGGAGGATAGCTGGTAGGCGGGCGCGTTCGGCGTGTGGATGAAGGTACCGTAGATGGTGAAGGTCGTGGCCTTCTCGTCGACGGTGGCGTATGCGGGAGGTAACTCGGGCGGGGGCGATGCTGGTACGATGGTGGGTGTTGGCTCTGGGTCGACAGCAGGTTGTTCGGCAACGGCGGGCTCAGGATGAGGTTGTGGTACTGTGGTGGGCGGAGGCGCGACGACGGCTTCTTCGTATGAGGGTATTGGCGCGTTGATGTTTGGGCGAGACATGGCTGCGAAAACCAGAAAAAGCACGCAAGCAGTTGCTCAGTCTGGCTGGCAGTGCTCAAAGAATTGCACAAGATGAGATTTCAGAGGCTGTGTTCCGCCAAGCATGCTGTCGTATTGATTGATTGATGATGTGAACACGGCAAGCCCGGCGTGACGTACTTCATCCACAACCTCGGCTTCTTCCGCCTGCCAAGACCCCACACCTGCAGTCTCTCCCCACGTCACACCACGAGTCCCACGGCAGTCGCGTGTGGAACCTAGACGCATCCGAGCCAGACTACTCGAAACGCAGCACTCCGCCATCATGTTGGTGGCTCTTTGCATCTGTGCATCTTTGTCCAACAAGTCAAGTCGATCATGCGAATCTCGTGGCCCTTCTCCTGCAACTCAAGCAAGAGTGGTTTTGCTAGATCGAGGAACTCAGCGCCGCGCTTACTATCAGCAGGAAAAATCGAAAGAGAGACAGTTACGCCGAGACTGGCTGAGCTCAAGATCTTTCTTAAATCTCCAATAGTCTCCTCCATATCTGACTCAATCCTCCAACTATTGTCAAAACGCATGACGAAGGTGATGCGGCCGGCGATGTTTTCGGGGAGTACACTTGCATCGATGTTCGACCACCACGGAAGCTTTGCGATAATATGGTGGATAGACAACGGCTGTGCGCACATGTACTTCTGAATGATGAACGTCGTTCTCCAATGGAATCTTTCGAGGATCTCATCTGCTAGTGGGTGGGTGGTTGATATCATGGGGTATGGACAGCCGACTGGTGGAGTAGGTATAATACCGTCCGATGCTCCTTTGTGGATGGAGAAGCCAGTGTTGTCTGTTGCTAACTTGATAGTGTAAGTGTTCTCCCTAGGGAGTACATGGTCGTATACCATGTCCCTAACCTCCCGTGGTAGCTTCCCTGATGGTAGCAATCCGAAAATTCTGTCGAGGAGACTGGGGTGTACGAGCTTGGCGTATTCTCTGAGGACATCCGCGAGCGTCTGGTGGATGTACAGTTCCTTCGGTTCAACCTCGGAACGCTTCCGAAGCTCTGCGTTGATACGACGCTCTGCCAAACCGAGCTTCAATGTAGCTGTGTCCTTGCTGGTCGGGTCGGCGAGGGACGGTGGGCCGCTTTGAGATTTTGGATCAAGTCGTTTCTCGATGTCCTCGAGAGTCGAAAGCTGCTTTTCTTTCCACGATTTCAGCTCTTGCAGCGTAGAGTCAAATCGTTCCTTCTCAGCTCTCAGTCTCTCCGCAATGACATGTAGACTGCCATCCTGGACGTTAGCTAAGGTTATTTACGTTACGACAGAAAGCCTTGACTGACCTGAAAGCTCGAAGACGGTAATGCTCATACTCCGTCGAGGCAGGCGAAGAGCGTCCGAAGACATCTACGAAGCCGAGTCGGTCACTAGTGGTATGGGTTGTAGACATCGCGAACACCTGAGTAATATATTGGGTGGTTTGTTTTGGTGTCACGCAAAACACCAAAGGACCCAGGTATGGGTTATGACACTCAGCTAGCCGAAAAACTAGACCCAAAGAGGCAAATTTGGAAGGCTCCGGTGCCAGTACACCAAAGAACGCGTCAACAAAGATTGAGTGACTTGTTTTCCACATTTCTCTGCCTAGGTACACACTACCGTGAGTACGTGATTAACGCTCACTTTAATTGAGATACTCCAATCTTCCATACGAACCAAGGTTGAGAACTAGACCCCAATCATATCAACCGAATTCCATACGACCCACACGCAGAAGAATGCCCCCGAATAAGAAGTACCGCCACGTGCAACCCGAGGGCTCAACGGATAACGAGCCTTGCGATTGACGTGACTTAAACCCGCAAAGCTACTAGTTTCGCGTCCCGGACGAAGCAGCGCTTGGCACAAGCGGATACTACACTTCGTATTGCATTCTGCGCAAGGTAAAGCCACTATCTGAGCAGGGGTATACATCGCCTTAGGAATTATTCACTTCTTAGGATTTAGCAGTGTATGTGCAGCAAATGCAACACGCATCATAGCCCTTCCTGGTATCGTGTTCACATCATCTAACCCTCCGCCCTCATCTCCGCCTTCTCTCCAGCATCCAGATTACGTCCCGAAGGGTACATCTGATGCGGAGATCGCCTCATATACTCGCGGACTTTCGCCTATTGAATCTGATTAGTGCCATACACTTTCATATAAGACTCAGGTTGACGACATACCTTACGAAACTGCCTTCGATTAGTCCAGGCATCAGCGAATGTGGCGCTTCCCTCCCCCACCGTCCATGTCCACCCGCTAATCCTATCGTCCAAGTGAATCTGGTGGCCTCGAGCCTTCAAGGTCGTCAGGCACGGGAATATGGCCTCCATGATGATATGAACGTTCTCGTTATGAACAGCGGCATCGATCTCGGTCCCAACATTCGAGACTGATAGTCGTTCGGTAGTAGCTAACATGGCTTGGCGTATAGTTGGGTTGGTGGGAAGTAGACACTCATATCCTTTACGCGTAGGACCAATTTGGAGATGCCAGTACATCTCTTTGCTAGGGAAGATCACTTGGATACGTGCTCGGGTATTGGTGAGTTGCTGTAGTAGGTCGAAGCGCTGACGGAGTAGAGTTTTACGCTCTTCAACCTGGTAAATGTCCTCGGGCATGTAGATGCTGATTTTGGAGAGCCAGCGTTTTGGTACGATGTCTTGCTTCCATGCATCTTGGTTGAGAACCCTGTTTATTAGCGCGTCGTGGTGGATATTGAATTGGCCACGTCGGTAACGAAGTTGTAGGATCTCTAGAGCTGACTCTTTGCCGACGATGGATGGATCGATGTAGTAAGGATCTTGGCCTCGATCGACGACACTAGCTGCCATGTTGGTCCGGTGGAAAAATGTAGAGCGTGGTTTGTTGGTCGTCTTCAGTACGTATCCACTACCCTCCAACCAGACGTCAAACGGCGGGTTCTCGAAATCCATCAGCTCGGCGTAGACCATGTCACGCAGCTCTCGCGGTAGGTGATCTTGCACGGCCTGTAGTATTGGTGGGGATTCTAGACGGGAGCATTCAACAGCGGTGTGATACAGACGATCCTTAGCTCGTCGCAGTTGCGCCCTTAGTCTTACACGCCGGGCTCCGTGTCCCTTGGGGCATGCAGTAAAGGTGAAATTGTCGACGGTACTTTGAAGCGGTCCAATCTTCTTGGCGGCTCTGCATGTTCGTCAGCGTACGGTTCATGTTCATTTGGTGATGGCGCTCACTGAAATCCATCTGCACGCAGCTCCACAAGCGTCGAGACCTTGCGTGTCTTCGTATAAACCATGGTTGACTGCGATCTTGGTGTAACTTGGGCGAAGTTGACGTATTTGCGCGTTGGAGTTGGCGGTTACACGACTGAGAGCGGGTCCTGGGTGTGGAGCGGCGTTCATATATACGCAGAAGGTGGACGCGATAAGAATCCCGTGATGTGGACGGACCACAAAGTGGATAAATGAATGAGCGATCTCTATCTAGCATGCGCTGAACACGAGACCTTATACACAGGTTACCGACTATACTAAGACAAAACCACGCAAGATAGGTAAACTAACATGGATGTAGGCTCTAGGGTGTCTAACATTTCCTAGGCTGACGTGACAAGAAAGAAGAACGCCAATGAACGTGGTCATAATTAGACGAGTTGAGGTACATCCCGATACAAAAGTCACAGTAACACCGTCGTCGTAAGCACTACCAGAACTCCAAAACAACATACCACCTGATCACACTGCCTACCAAGAAAGCCCAGCTCCCTGCCATTGCCGCTATAGCTGCATGCACCTTGCCCCGTTCCTCATTCTCCCCACCCTGAAAGAGAAAGAAACCAGCCATCATGAAGCCGAGCCCACCAAGCGCATTGAGAATGGCGCTCTGCCAATCCGAGTGAAAGAACCTGGGCTTGTACCAGCGCTCCTGTTCGGAAAACGCTAGCATAGCGTTCGCGACCAAGAAGAGCGCGCCGTGTATCACCTGCGGCCCGAAAACGATATAACCAAAGAGAGGGTCTTCTTCCGGGACGACGCCGGGGAAGTCGACGATGCCAGCGAACATAAAGATGATGCCCCCAAAGAGAACGATGAGACCAGCCTGGAAGGCCAAGTTGGTGGCCGACAACTCCCAAACCTTCTCCCATGACGGTATCCACTTGAACTCCGGTGTGCCAAGGAGCGCTGGCCGGTATCTAACTTTCTCAGGCTCCAACTTTGAGGTTTCGAGCGTACCGCGGTCCGCATTCAAAGCACTGAAGGTGTCGAAGATGCCTGCGACGAAGAAGAAGATCGATCCGATCAATATCGTACTAGGGACGGCGACAGTCTCTTCGGTTTCGAACTCCGTGGAGGGGTTGAGGCGAGGTAGTAGATCGAAGGTGGCGTTGATGACGAGGTCGATGGAACCGATGAGGAAGATGATCGCAACGAGGTAGATAGGGTCGCGGTAAGGAAAGACTGTGAACATGGATTTTAGCCGCACTTTAAAAGAGCTGTTGTTGTCCCATTCCATGACCGAAGTGGTGTCGAGATAGCGGTCGTCGATGTATGCTTGGCTGTTATCGGCGTTGCGTTCGACATCGAAGAAGGTAGGCTGTGAAGTACGCTCGGAGTGGCACTTTTCGCGGTGTTCAATGTGGTCGACATGAACGAAGGATTGGAGCTTCTCGGTTGAAGCGGGGCGTGGTTGAAGATCGATTGATAACGTCTCCGATATGCTATGTGGACGAGGGGTCATGCTCATCCGCGCCTGGCGGATGTACGAAGCACGGATCGTTGCTGAGGCATTCATGTCAGGCCAAGACAGGGTAAGGACAGTATTAAAGATTAGAAGTTATCGGTACTTGTACTAGGAAATTGAACGAAGGACACAATTCGACACGGTAGGCTTATAGAAAAGAAAGCATCCTCAATAGGCCCTTATGAGAACCCATACCCAGCGCAATCAAACGTTAGTTGGGTGTTGCTGTGTTGATCGCGCGCTCAGACGCCCAAGCCCAAGACTTCACATGTCTGACCCACGAGCTTCGTCATGCTTTTGGCCAACAAGCATCGAGTATTGATGCTGTTAAGCTCAACCAAGCTTTGTGAAGTGGTGCTTGTTTCCCACTTGCTTTTGATGTGGGTCGAACAGTACGTGGCGCCGTCCCGGATGGAGGAGTGCCGCCACCTGTGTGTGGCAGTGAACTGTTCGGAGTGAGAGATGTTGGTTTCAGTATTTGCATCGTATGAGACATCGGCCCAAAATAGGGGCGACTAGACGAAAAGGGCCCGGATCGCCGGCAGGCGCCGCTCGGACCGATCATCTTCAGGCACTAGTGCAGTGTGCGCTTCATCCTGGAGGTCGATCTGGAAAGATAGTGGGTTGAAACATTCTTGCCAACTCCAGGCCACGCAAGCTGAAGGAAGGCAAGCGCTTATGGAATGGTGATGTTCAAGAGCGGCACTATCGTGGGCGCTGGTGGCTCATTGTGGTACTCAAACACTGGCCTCTGAAACCAAATCGCTGCGCCGTCTTCGAGGTAGAGTTTGTCCCTGTCGCATCGATAGGCCTGTCGGGGGCATTGAGTACATCAACGCTGTCGCGCACGAAGATGCGTGCCGGCGGATGCCGTAGAAGATCCGCGCAGTGACCGTCTCTGGGCTATCAATGCACTCTGGTCCTGAGTAATGCAAGGGGTGGGCATACATTGTGCTGGCGGGGTTCTCATCCTGCGTCGGGATCGCCTGGTGTTGTCACTGTTGATGAAGCTGCCGTTCAGACGAGTGGGTGAGAGCGGTCTCGGCTGGAAGGCGGTGCTGACATCATCCGCTAGTCTGGGTCAAGAAGCGGCCCTCCCATCGTTCCAAAGTTTTGGCGGCTTTCGCGACCCGTCACAACAGCGCTCTTCGCGAACGACTTCTGGCCCACCTTCTATCTTGTTGATTCATCAGCACGCTTCAAGCGCTCTGTGCTTGATCGACATCACTATAGAATTTGTCACATGAGCGGTCCGCTTACTGATACCTTCTATAATCTCGTTCGCCCTCAGTTTCGAGCGCATCACCTGCTCAGTAGTGGACTGAATACAAGAATAGGCACCTTATCTACTTCAAACCCCGAGTCGCAAGATAAGATAGCTTCAAGCGCCGAGTCACATTGTCGGTACCTGGGAAGGATGCACGCTCGGCCTTGGGATGGGTTTCCGGGGTCTGCACGAAGACCTAAGAAAAGACGCGCCACGTTACGCGAACCCAAGACAACCGCACCCAACCTCAGCCTACATAGCCGGAACCGTGGTCTTCACCGTTCTAGGAAGTCCGGTGTGGCATTCTACTTCAGAGACAAGGCTACAGCGACAAGGCTACGAGGCAAACTAATGACTACCAGTTGATGGAGTGCACAGAAGCCTTGCAAACCATGTACGACTTCGCCGGCGTTGAGCCCCAGCGATCCGCTGCTGCTGCGTAGACCGCGGCCAACATCCTCCTGTCAGCGATGATCATTCAAGGAACATGTTTCGCGATTTGGTCACTTCGTACCGTTCCCCAGTGATCATGCGCGTCTACGTTGAGGGCGCGGGAGGATGGCCCCGCGCCCCAACGCGCATACCCGCCGGAAGGAACGTAGCGCATGTCAGCCGCGCCATCCATCAGCAGCATCTACAAATCATCGCAAGCGCCTATACACCCCAAGATTAGATGCATGACGCAGCGTTGCCGAGTCGCATATGCGCTTACCAGTGCATCGCAGGACACTAATCCTAGGGAAGAGGCAGAGGGGCTCTGAACAGCGAACCAGAGACGCCAAGGTCCTATTTACCCAGGACAAAAGTGTAGCAGCTTGAGATGAACTGCCGAACTGAACGTCAAGGTAAGCAGTACCAAAAAAGTGTTGTAGCGATATTCTAGGATTGATCGCCTCGTGTACTGTTTTTGGCCCGCACCCTGGACAACTCGAAGCACACGCGAGGCTCTGCTTCACCCATAATTCGCCTTACCAGCTACAGCCTTTCTACTCCATGACCTGCTCTTTCGTCATGCTTAGGGTGATATGGGGTAAGAAGGTCTGACCATTTCACTATTTCCTTATCGTTTCCTTCTGGGTCAGTTTCCTGGACGTTGTCCATTTTTCCCTTATGTCGAATATGAAGTTAGCGAGTGGATATTTCCTGCCCCGAAGTACATCAGCCAGCCCCATCGACCGAGCAAATACCATCAGGGCTGCATCATGGGCCATCCTTATCATTACGATGATGGTTTTCGGAGCACGGCAGATAATGAAGGTTGTTGTCTTTCGGAGAATGGCGCTCGATGATCTCTTGATATTTGTGGCTTTTGTAAGTCGCACAACATATCTCTCGAACTTTGCTAATGGATGCAGTCCTTTGCCGTCAGTCTTTCAATCATAGCTCTTGTCTTGTCGTTCGAAGGTCTCGGCACTGTTGGTCCGTTGACCCCCGAGCAAACCATCTTCCTCATGAAAGGATACTACTCGTCTGAAATTGTCTACATTGTAGCCATTGGCTTCGCGAAATTATCAATCTTGGTAATATTCTACAATGTCGTCGTAACGCAACGCATCATCCGCCGAGCTGTGGTAGCTTTCAGTGCGGTAGTGTCAGTCTGGACAGCGGTGTCGCTTGTCGCAATTGCGTTTCAATGCCAGCTACCTCGACCTTGGCAGATTGTAGGCCCAAGATGCTTCAATTCGGTATGCAACATAGGACCTAACGAAACAAGATCTGAAAGCTGACCTGAATAGCGCATCTTTTGGATCGTATATTGTATCGTCGACATTTCCACCGAAGTCGCAATCATTATGCTTTCCATACATCTCGTAGCATACCTTCAAGTACGGCTCTCAAGAAAATTTGCAGTCATTGCATGCTTTGCGCCGCGCATGCTGGTGCTGATTTTGGCAATTGTTCGTCTCGTTTTGCTATTCCCGGCTCCGCTACATGGCGATCCTCACTACCGACTCTGGGTGCCGGCGATCGTATCGCAAGCCCATGTATGCCTCAGCATCGCAACTGCCAGCATTCCATACATGGTGCCCTTCTTCAAAGGTATGGATGGTGACTTGCGCAGGACTCACTCGACAAAGAGTCGCCTCCATCTTATCGATGAAGAGACAGGGCGCTCAAGGTCCTCGCTGTGGTTTCGCCGACACAATAAGACCAAGGCTCTTGAGCTCTGGAACCCGACTGCAGATGCCGTTGTTCCATACAACCGCGTTCCGCAGCTCTCGCCTTACATTCCCGCACCAAGACCTTTATCACCTTTATCGCCTCCTCGGCCGCAGACGCCGCTCGGCAAGCAGGCTAGCGTTCGCGGTTTGAACATATATATCCCATGTCGAGATCCTCGGCGGCAACGAAGCTTGGATTGGGCGAGTCCACGCACAGAAAGCTCGGGCGTGCTTTCGCCATCGTGCGCATCACCACAAGCTTTGCTTCCGCAGTCATTCATCCCTTCCAGGAAGGCACCCAGCCCACCAACAAAGATCTACAGTCCCAGACCAACTTCCTCAAGCTCTTGCTACTCCAGTCGTACCCCAACACCGGCTTTGACTACGCCATATGCGGAACGTTTTTCGCTATTCCCGGCTCAAAGCTCCTTTTCCGTCTCACCGCAGCCACAGTATAGCCCATCTCGGGTGCCACCAATTCGAGCAATGCGATCACAAACGATATCCACGAGCGTAAGGTCTCCTGATCCGTCAGTCACGAAGAGTCCTTCCGGTCCAGGGGCACTCATTACACGGTCGTCCAGCCGTGCGCAACCTCGGAAGTTCAGTACCACAACACATCTTCAGACACCACCGTTGATGACCACATATGAGGGGACTGGAATCAGACCCGGTTCTATACAAGACCTAACATCCCCCATGGGTGCAGCAATCAATGGCTGGTTTAGCAGTGCTAAGACAGACTATCCTCCGCCATCGTCACCCATGGAGGCCCGACCGAATTGGCAACCCAAGACCGATCAATATGAGCTTTCACTAATGCGCTCAGTCGCTCACCCAAGATCGCCACCTCCAAGTCATATGCGAACACATGCTCGTGCAGACATACCGCACGATGCGCCGCCGCTTCGTTCGCCTCATGACACCCTACTTCACACCCGAGCTTTCAGATCGCAAACCATTCCTTCCGTACGCGATGTGCGGCATAGTCCGAGGATCGTGCATTGTGACCCCTTCTAGCTGTATATTCTTCAGTCTCTGTACCATTTTGTCCTTCGTCTTGCATCTGGGCGGCGTTAAGAGGGTTTCTTCCAACAATTTGTCGCATTGAACGATACGATGATTGTATCACGAACTGTATAACATGTATTTGTACTTTCCGTTTACGAGTCTATCTCTAGACCACACGGTTTTGGCGGTTCTTCTCTGGCGTTCATGGAGTCGGAAGGATATGATGTTGATTGCCTCGGCATTCTCACGGCGCGTCTTTGCAGCTATTTCAACAAGCTATTTCACGAACATTCGAGTCAAACGCTTTCACATTATTGTGCGCAAAAGAAGCACTTTCTCCACACGACGAGTCAGTGGGTTACGTCGTGAAACCTCGCCGCTTCCCCACTTTCACAACAATGGTAGGTGAACACTACGCTTGCAACCCATTATAAAAACTCTTAAACTTCACCCTTATCGACAATCACACCAATCGTTACTTTCAATCAACTCGGTCAAACTCTGATGTCTGCGGCATACAGCAAAACGACTGCCGACGTATTCCGTCTTTGGAAGGTCGACAGCTTCACGGATTCCTCTGGACGGACATCATGTGCCAAGGATGAACGAGAGCACTTCCGACTTCGCTGTCTTGCACTTAAAAAGGTTGTGTCAACCCTAAGGCAAGATTATCAGTCCAAGCAGGCGAAAGAAGTGGAACTCGAAGATTTCATCGCCCGGAAGCTTGAATACACGGACAACCCAGACAATGCTGCGCATGCTGCCTTGTACCAGAAGCGCCTGTTAGTCCACCAATCTGCAGCTCAAACTACTAAAGAAAGACTGGCACGCGTTGAAGCAGAGCTGGACTTCGTTCTGGGGCACAATAGCGAAGCGAGGGTCTTTTGCGAACTTGTCTCCGAGAAGTTGCCCACGGAGCTCGTAGACATAGTTTACGCTTTTGTCGAACCCTACCCCAAGGAACTTGAAGTCGACTATGACGTCGAACACAAAGAGCCTTTGGGAGACGAATCCAGCGACCAAGAAGTCGTGGAACGAGTATACACCTCTAAGTCTCTGAATGGAGAGTTCAATGGAAAAGATTGCAAAACGCCCTGGTATCTGGACACCAACATTGTGAGCCCTGAGTTTGCCGAGGAAAAGATGAAGACTTTTCATCGCGAGACAGTTTTCTCCATCGATCGTCTAGTACACCTCACGCGCTTCCTCAACCAGAACCCATGGAGGGGATACGAGCACCTGGTCCCAAAAGAATTCGTGCGCAACATACATCTCAAGATACCGTTAGATATGTGCCACGAGGAATGGATGGGCCCGGAAGACTCGGAATCTGAGGAAGAAAGCCAAGCATATCTGGACTCAATCTCAGGCTCTGCGGATGAAGGTCTAGAATATGAAGCGTACGACTCAGTACTTGAGGAAAATCCAGAGCTGTCGTCTCTATGGCGACTTGTCGCTGGAGATACTCTCTTGAACGAGCTCGCGCCGCTACAGACCCTCACACAGCGAGGTGTTCGAATTACTATAGACGTCCGGCCCAGCATGAGGACTTGGTCCTTACTTCTGCCAAAACATATCATGGAGGCATGGAGGGACTCTTCCCACGAGGGCCCATTCAAATACGAAGGGGGCGACGAAGCAGAAAATGAGTGGGAAAACACGGAAGACTTTGAACTTATTGGGCGGCTTCTGCTGCTGGTGCTGATGCAGAAGTTGCTGCCGTTCTTCCAGGATCTGGTTAAGAAGGGACAAGTTGTAACGATTTTGGATAGCCGAGAGAAGTGGTCTTGGGTCATGAGCAGGGACAGCATGAGTGTGGATGACTTGCTTGAATGTAGGCAGACCTTTTGGGCTCAGAAGCCAGAAGGCGTTTTCGGGGGCGAGGCGTTGGAGTTCCGTATACCGGCTCTTGAGGACGTTGGAGACGTATAAGTCTTTGACGGTCAGTATGCTTGACCAGGTCATGCGCTCCGTATGGATATAGTGCTCTATCAATTCATGGTTTGCCGTCTACGTCAGTATGAGAACGAAACTTCACAGACTCCGGGGGGTGATGTAGACGTTTGGGTCATTTACATTGCCCTCTTTGAATTCATGCTTTGCCGTCTACATCAGTATTAAAATGAAGCTTCACGCACTCTGGGAGGTAACGTAGACGTCTGGGTGATTTCCATTGTCCTATATGAAGTACCCCTAGAAGTGTTCGCTCTCTCCCTTGTTCAGAGTGCATATGCACACATCATCCCAATTCATTCATTCATCTATGTGATCAAGTCAGTGCTGATCATGCACACTGCATCTATCTTACTAACCTGAAGCCACTTCTGCACACCTTCCAAACAGCCTTTCGTTGTGAAGTCCAGCGTGTCCTCAGTAAAACTCGCGCATTGACCCGACGCTGTCTTGTAATCCTCAAGCTTCAGCCGTAGCCTCCAGCCCTTGCTCTTGAGCTTTTGGAGGATCGGCAGCAGGATATTAAGCAGATAATTCCTATGCCTCACATCGTATTCTATCACGACTGTAAGAATGCGACTCTTGCTTTTCATCGGCAGTAAAGTGGTGAGGAAATCAAGGCGCCGCTTGAGACCCATTTTGCGAGTTTTGTGCTGCATCGAAAGCTCGGTGAGTGGCGGCGAAGCTCTTGTATACGGCGTGTCGAAGCCAAATTCATATCCTGCCTCCTCCATCTTTGTGAAGTGGCGCTCGTTGATATCAAGCGAGATTTTTGAGACTAGCTTGTTTAGGTCAAGCTGTAGTCCGGATGTGTCTGAAGCGAGAAACAGGGCTATGTTCTCTTCTTCACTTGGAAGTTCGAATGTGAATTGCGTTGTGCGATAGAAGCGCGCAACGAACTCTAGGTAGATTTCTTCGCCTAAGCCCTTGTGATGGGCGAGGTCGAAGCGTTTTCCATCTTCCTCATTTTCGAAAATTATACCGCCAGCTTTAGCTTTTCTGACTACGACGTGACTTGGCATGATTTCCTCGTATATGATGTCGCGAAGCTCTTGTGGAAGCATGTCGCTCAATTCCATGCTCAGGCCCATGTAGGCAATGCTTGAAGACGCATGCGGCATTGTACTTGTGTCTTGCTCGCGCTGCCTGATTTGCGGAATTTCTGCCTTACTAGCCTCTTCCTTGATGACTTCTGGCTTGCTAGTGCCGAAACGTTTGTCCAAGGTAGTCCAAAACATCTTTTCTCGATGCGACTTTTCCTGCAACTCAGCGCTTCGCAGCTCAGTAATCTTACACTGCATGTTCAGATCTTTGATGTTGGCCATGATGTCGGATAAGTCGAGATGGCAGTGTAGTAGTATTTTGTAGTTGTGTTCTTCAGTCTTAGTTGAGCGAATGTAGATATTTGTAGTTTCGCGGAAGTGTTTTGGTACTAGCGTCAAGGTCTTCAATACTGTCTGATGATGAAGATGTCTAAGTAGAAAAGCGCGGGATGCAGCCATTATATACGATTTCCTCCTCTGACTCACACCAGAACGTCCATGCACTACATTGGTCGAGTCCATTCCATCGGCTTCCTCCACTGGTACTGCGGTGACGAAGAGCGAGCAACATCCAATCGAGCCCTCCCGAATACAACGCACCCACACTGGCGATATCTAGAGTATGTGTCATGTCTTGCTGCGCATGTGACTCGGACCTGGGCGCCGATGCGATACCTTGGTAAAGTCCATTCTATCCACTTCCCCAGTGGTACTGCGCTGACGCAGAGTGAGCAACGGTCCAATCAAGCCATCCCAGATACGTCGCATCGGCACTGGAGGTAACCAAAATATGCGTCATGTCTTGCTGCACACATAGCATTACATCATGGGAAGTAGAGACTTTCCAAGCCATATACTTGTCTGGCTCCGAGAACTTTTGATGGGATATGACACAGATTGTTCTGCTTTGCGGCATACACACTGTTGTAAGATGACAAAGGGATAGTCTCTGACTCGACGTAGACGTCTAGCTCAAAAAACGTTTCGTGAAATTCGAACCTTCGGTACTGCAGAGCGAAGGCGGGTGGTGCGCCGACCAACCACAGTGACTGTACTTCTGACGACACCGAATTCTCACGTAAAAGGGCTGTGTTCGCAGGACATGCATCGCGATCACATGGTACTGCGATGACCCATACCATGACCCACAGACGACGTCCGCATCATATGATGGTGACGGGAATTGCGACTTGAGGTCGCGGGATATATTCGGCTCATACCAGCGCATCACGCCCCGCCACGTCCTAGCCCACAGTCCTCCCCCCACCTAATACTCCCTCTTCACATGCCACAACTCCCACGGCGCCTCCCACGCCAACAAAATCCCAATCGCCTCTTTGTACTCCTCGCTCTTGACCGCCTCCTCAAAATACTGCATGCCCTCCCATCCCCTCGCCACAAAAAAGCACTTCGCCTTCTCCTTCTTCACATCCTTGTGCTCCAGCTCTTCCATCACCCACCCATACGTCAATCCTCCACTCCCCTTCAAAGCCTTTGCACAGATGTCGTTGAACTTGTTAAAATCCTTCTCAATCTTATTCCTGAACGACTCGTTGATCTTGCTGGCAGGGAAGTAGATCTGCACGAATTCGACTAGGGGAGAGGACATGGGGCCGTTGTTGTCGAAGGCGGATTGGCCGTCTTTGAAGGTGACGTGGAACATCTTGTCGGGGTTTCCGAGGGTCTTGATGACGGTCTCGCGGTACGTGTTTGCTTCCGCCGAGGACTCGGCTTTGGGGTCGTGCCATTCCGATGTCAGTTGCAGGTTGCGCTTGTCCTGGGTTTGGGTGCCTAGGACGTAGTTCTCGGGGGCTTTGGCGCCTTTGAGGGCTTTGACGGCGGCGTGAGCTGCTGCGTCGGCTTCCGAGGCGGAGGGTGCGCGGAAGTGGATTATTTGTGTTACTGTCATGTTGAGCGGCTGCGGAGTAAGTTGTAAATGCTGTCAGGTGAGTTGCTCGTGATGGAGATGTATATGTTCACGATACTTTAGTATCGAATCGTTGCGCATGAGGTCGGACGTGTAGCCCGCGAGCTTTGTAATCTGGAGCTAGCAACCACCGACACCGATGTTTGGCTTCGACGTTACGTGGCATGAACCAGGTTTCAGGCGTGCGTTCAGCCACGGCGTGCCGCAAAGTACACGTTAAGGCGCCGTGTGGGTACATGTTTGGCATGTTACTGGATGTCAATAGCCCTGGAGATGCAAGCCTGCGGGGTAGCAATGCGCCTCGGCACCCCAACACTCACGCTCGATTGCGGCATGACAGAAGTCAAACCTGAAGACATTATTGTGCAGAGGTGTGCGCTGATATCACATGAGTAATGTCCACAATCTGCTGCAAGAGTCCGAAGCGTTGGACCGTCAGCGATAACATATCCGAGGCACGGATGCCAAGAAGCGCTACTCCACATATGGTAGCGCACCCTGGTGACATCATCATATTCGGGAAGAGCGGCACTGTTTGGAAGGCCCAGCCCACGAGCGGCGAGGATAGTAATACATTATACGAGAATCGTGTATCTAGTCTTATTCGTAGCTTCGCAGAAGCTGCCTCTATGTATGTAAAAATAGCAACCCCGACTCCTGCAAATGCTAGACTCGCTTGCTTGTAAAACACGACAACAAAAGAAATGCGTCTTGATGTGCTGAGGGAACTACTACAAATGACTTGTTGAAAAGAGAAAAAGGTGATGAGCGATGGGTGTGAGAAAGCCGGTAATATGTGCAGCCTCCCCTAGAAGCTGAACAGCCCCGACCTTCTCTTGCCCAACGGGTAAACGATAAGCGCAGCGAGGAACAAGCCTACTGTGATACCAATAGCGATCTGGATGACGGAGAAACCAACGTCCAGAGCGATGGAGTTGATGCTTGTGCTGCCGCCAACGTCGGCGCTGCTGATTGTCGTAGCGTTGCCAGTCTGGTTGCGCACTATCTGATCGGCCGAGGTCAGACCCGATACGAGGGAGCCTTGAACACTGAGTCCAGATGGGACTTGGACGAAGATAGCTGGCAACATAGCGGCTGCGGCAAGACCATAGCCAATCTTGCGTGTGTGTGGTGTGAAGTCGCTGACTGAGCTAGCTCGTGATGTGTGGCCGCTGCTGGTGTGGGTTGGGTCATAAGCCGATCGCTCGACCTTTTGCGTACGGAGGGTGAGCGGACCGTGGTTCTTCTTCTGCCACATCTTTCGCACCTTCACGAAGTGGGGTCGCAGCTTGTTCTCCCAGGTGTCATGACCCCAGTTCTCGATGTGACGACCGAAGCGAGCATGGGCGTTGGCGGCGATACCGATAGCCAGTGCTCCGAGCGTGTTGCTGACCTGCGCGTTGCTCTTGAAGTACTTTGAGCTGTGGAAGTTGACAACCCAGCCGATGAAAGCGATGACAGTCATGGAGGGCATCTGCTTGTACTTGGCTTGGTTGACGATTTGCAGGCAGATGGCGAATCCAGGAACAAAGAGATAATAGAAGTTGGTCGACATGGGTTCGTGGCATGTGGTGCGCGAGGTGGCATTGTGGTCCATCATGCCATATAGTACAGTGCCGATGGTGATACCGAAACCAAGGAACAGGGAGTAGATGATAGCGTAGACCATGCGCACAGATCCAGCGACGATGTGCTTACTTTGGAGCTCCAGCGATGCGCAAAGCACCATGAAACCGGGTAGGATGAGGGCAATACTAGACTGAGCCATGGCACTGAAGCAGAAGATCTCTTTACCGTCATGTCGGATGGACCCAAGGGCGCGCGCCGCAAAGCTGGTGATAACCGATGCTCCAATCTCGAAGACGTTGCTGATAAGATCGTTTCCGGGTGCAACGACGAGTTGGAGCCATCCGATGAGGCAACCCAAGAGGAAGCAGAAGGGTAAGTCGACAAACCGAGCCTGGAACGCGAAGGGCCCTACAGTCGCGGATGCCAAACCGTACATCGGTACGCGAAGCCATTTGTTGAACTTGTCTTTGCGCCCCATGATGGCGTCAAGTCGAGGTGTGGCTTCGTCGACGCCAATCCTGTCGTGTACCACGTCCTTGTAGATCTCATGGACGTCGTGCAGTTTACCGAGATCGACACCCTGACTAGTTCGAACGAGCTTGACCTCACTGGTGTGAACTGAGGAGTCATCGAACGCGACGATCATGCAACCTGGCATGTACAGGAACTGTGCTTCGATCTCCAAGACACGAGCCGACATGTTCAGATACTCCTCCAGTCGATGAGTGGGGGCTCCGTACATCATGAGCGCTTTGCACAGCTTGCGGAGATAGTTCTGACGCGCGAGTGTACCAGCGAGATGAATCTTGATCTTGATCTCCTCTTCCTTCCTCTTGTTCTTCTTGAATGGGAGTATGGACTCGTCTGACTTGGATCGCTTTCCCATGCCAGGGCGCGCCGCGGTTTTCTTGTATTGTTGATCATACTCCTGACCCAGTTCTTGTTGTGCAGGCGCCGCAAAGCTGTGCGCCGAAGATCCGACCAAGTGCGAGATGGAAGTTGCGGACTGGTTGTTGGAGTGACTCCGGAACCAAGGACGTCCTCCACGCGGGGTGGAGTATCCGGAAGCGGGTGGTGAGGGGTTGGGTGAGTTCGCAGCAGTCGAAGCTCCGCTGAACGTGCTGGTGCTGAGGGTTCGGTGATGAATGGGTTTGCGTGATGACGAAGACGACGATGGTGGCGCCGCGTTACTAGACATCTTCATTAGGGTACCCAATACTCCGGTCCGGTACTTGGTAGGACGAACGACGTGTTCGTCCTCAACCTCCATAGCATCAGGTGTCACCTGGCCTGACCGTAATGGGGCTTCGGTATGGTAAAGATCCTCGGCGCTCAGTGCGGGCTGTCCATTAGCCGCGCGTATGGTGTGCTGACGAAGGAGCATGGATGCTCGCTTCATGAACTGCGGGTCTTCATCATCGTCGTCAGTGGTTTCGCCGACTGATTCGTACTGCTTGGACAGGTTCTGGAGTTCAACTGGTGGAGAAGCCAGCTCCTTGGAGTTTCGCCGGGATACTGGAGCGGAGTAAGTGCCCACTGACTTCGACAATCTTGCCGCACGTCGTTGAGCAGCGAGGCCGGATCTCTCCTTGAGCTCTTGGTGCACTGAAGGCGTCGCTGCCGCATTCTGGTCGTCGAATGGATTTGGTTGGTCGTTGAGGTAGAACTCCGGGGGCGGAGTCCGAGGGCCTGGCTTCCGAATGGCTGGTCGGGGTTTCTGTACATCCTTTGGAGCAGTGATAGGTTCCTGGATAACCTCTTCTGGTAGATGTTCGTTACCAAGAGC